TAGTCACATACCTATTGTAACACTTACTTTCAGGTATTTACATTATTTATTTATGTGTCTGCCTTTCTTGGATTTTTTTGAGACAAAAATTTAGGCTATAATCCTTAAACTCAACCAAATCTCTAGCTAGTAAATTATGAATCAATGAATAAATGAATGTGCTATAGTTCTTAACCCTGAAAAAGTAAAACATTAAGTTTACCACCAGTAACTTCATATTGAGCAAGTAATTTTTGCTTTGGCTATGATGTTCAATAAAAAAGCTGATTTATTATGATTCTAATTTTGATGTTTTTTTTTTAAAATAAGGCATAGCACCTTTTCAGTGACAGATTATAAGATAAACACATTGACTTCCCAAAGAAGTTTAATATTTAAAAAAAAGTGCAAGTATTTTGTCTACATGCATGAGCATCTCAAGATTTTAATTGCTTTTTACTTCAGGAAGGTTGTGATATATAAACACTTTACAAATCTGATCTCAAAAAACAATGATTTGAATAATCTGTGCTTTAATGCAAAAATGAAACATTAATTTGTTCAATTTTCTCATACAACATGTTTATTAAACATTTCAGTGTCAATAATTTCTTAAAATTGTAACATTTAATCCTATAATGGAGCTAATACCAATTCTATTCATAGGAGTGTATTTTGGACTTTTAAACAACTTTAAGTAAAATGAATGCCACTGTCTTTAAGTTGTGCTTGGAGCAAAGACAAAGAAACATTAATTCTTTCCAACTAATAAAACATCTAGTGATGTAATTTTTATTATGAAATTATTTTAAAGCTATTGTATGTTAAATACATTTTGCTTCTGTTACTGAAGCTTAATATATCATCTCTGAATATTAATAATTTTCACTTAATTTAGATTTTAAATATTGAATTTTTAACTTGGGCTGCAAGGAAAAATCCTGAAAAATAAAGATTTGCATTTAGCATCTTTTTCCTGCCCTCAAACATAACTTTTCAATCTGATATGACTTATCATGGAATCTGGATCAGGAAGTATAGCTTTTTAAGATAACTTTAAAAAAAAAAATACTTCTACATCAAAGAAGAATTCAGAATCACTTAAGTCTGAAGGAGCATGTGCTTTGATAATTATTTCCATCTGTTCCTTTTTTTATTATAAAGTGGCAATTTATATTACCATTAGAAATATACATTTGTATATAAAGTTTTGCATTCAAACCTCTTTATTTTTTGATTAGCTATGACTAAAGAACACAAGTCAAATAAAAACTCTATATATCCTTATTTCAGAAGCATATGTATATATACACATATATATTTGTAGAACAATCCACTGTTTTAAATGTGACTCTGAGTTAAAAAATGCTATTTACAATTTTATGACAGAGAAATAATCTCAGCCTTTTATGATATTAAAATGAGCAGGGGATTTTTATGTTTGAGTGTGTTTCACCTTGTGCAGACGAAATTAAGTAACATCATGGGAAACCTTCTCAGAGCAAGGCCTTGTAGACTAAACCATGAAAGTAGAATAGTAGATTTGCTATTTCTGGGTCCATGTTTAAAAAAATTACTGTTGATGTAGCTATGTTTCTTTGTCAAGAAATCAGTGGTCCCAAATTAGGACCTTCAAATTTCCAATACGTAATAAGTCATTCTTCATTCTTTACTTCTGTCTTAATATTCTCATCTCTTGCTAGTGGCACCACAGGACAATCATCCATACATATAATGCCTATCTACAGCAGTGTCATTTCTTAAATTGAAGAATCCTTCTAAAAAGCTACCTGGATTAAAATGAGGCCCATAAAGCATCACAATTTACATCAAATTGATGTTTCTTTATTGTGCCAATCCATAGTGGCTAAAAATGTGCTATGAAATTCATATGTAAAATTCAAAACCCAAACTATTAGTGTGATCAAGTACAGGATGGCTTGCTGTCCTCCAGTTTCCTGAAGCACAAGTCTCTGAATTAGCAAATGGAACGTCAGCACCATTTTGTTTCCATACCTCAAACTTCTAGCTTAAAAATCAAGTAAAGTATATTGACCAAAGAACTGTTTTGAGATTCTCAAAAGTATTGTTTTCATTCTTAAGCCCATTGATTTTGAAGCATGTTACAATGAGGACTCTTGGAATAAACACATCTTAACTTATATGTACATAGTCAATTACAAAGCTTTACTGAAAGTTATATTTTTCCTGAGAATATCCCAATGGATGAAAAAAAAAGAGTTTATTTGACTTATAGAAACTTAAGAGATGAATGAATTGAGACCCAGAAATTGAAACGATAAAAATCAAAGAATTATTTTACTTGGAAGAAGCCTGGAAAACAAACTATTTAAACTGGCTCATATTTTTGGAATAAATAGGATAATTATATGTTTGTATTTGGTAATTAAAAAAAACTAAGACCGTGAATACTGATTTTTTCTATTAAAGGTTTTATGTACCTAAAACGTAAGCAGCAGTTAAGCAAACGTTCACCCTATGCTCTCAACTACAGGTTTTGTCAAGTTAATATGTAAAATAAAGGTGAGCTTTCCAGTTAATTCTTCAAAATTAATTGTAAATAAGGCAAAGCTAATTTCTGAACAGTTACTGTGGTCAACATTTGCTTAAATGATATGAAAAAAAAACCAATATAGAAACCAAGTGGTTGGACTCCTGCTTCTTAACTGCTACGAGGAAGAAGACAAATATGAATCTAGATGATAAATCATGGGCAGCCATTGAAAATAGAGGGAGGATCTGTGTTGCAGTTCATATTGCCATCATATTTTTCTTAATATTTAACCAGACTAAATATATTGTAATGAAATCATCAGTGTAATTTATAACACTTTGTGAAACTGTCAATTGTGTTACTGATGAGTTTGTGGGGTGTGTGTGTGTGTGTGTGTATCACCATAAAAGCTCAAGTAATTTCATGCTAAATGAGCCTGTGACCCATTTTGTAGAAGACTCTTTTTGAATTTTTTCAAAGAAAACAAGGCTTTGTGCTTGGGGTTTGTTTGGTCCTAGAAGTGACAGGTGTGTTTAAAAGCAAGTTGAATCAAGAGTGACAAGGAGAAATACAACCAGATTTGTAAGTTTTTTACAAGTGTGTTCTTTTCCTAGAAGAGCAACATTCTTTTTTTTTTTTAATTTAAATGTCTTTATTTGTTACTTTCAAAATATTTTGTTAAAACAAATATCTTTTGCAAAGGTGTGTTCAAAATCCTTGCCGAGGTGCCTAGATGCATAACTTTTATTCTTTACAACCGATAAGGCAAATTCCTCCATTTCATTTGCTGCTAACCTCCTGATAACATAAATTAAGTACTTGGTGAAGGACACAAACCACTATTAAAGAATAATGATTGTGTAGAGTGAGGGGAACTACATTGACTTTGAAAGAATACAGCAACCAATGGCAAGGTCATTTAAGTGAAGGCCTAGAGCTTCTGCAAAGTGTATATATTTTAGGGAATCATATTTGGAACAATACATGCTGGACAGTAGAGCTATAGGAGAAGTAACATGCTACGTCTTCTCATTGGTAATATCCATAATTCTGCATACATTTTTAACATTCTGTTTTGTTTGAATTTGGATGTCTCTACACCATCCTGATTTGTAGGACTATGTAGATCTATTTTTTTTCCAAGGCGATCATATAATGTTCATTTCTTCCCTAATATTTTTCTAATACTTTAGTATTGCCTAGTCCTTACACTGAGTTCTTTTTTTTTTCTTTTCGAGTGCTTTAAGCTCACACAACCCTGTGTGTTGGAACCATAACTGTTAATTCCATATTGTTTCTCTATGCCCCTTGAAAACTCAGTGTATCAAGTTCCTTTCTGTGTTCTAGGAGACAGATTTATTGTCAACTAGACTCATTAACAAGGATATACAGCAACAAGCAAACCACTGGCTTCATAAGATATTAGGTTAGGAATTTCACAGCCATGCCTCCCAATTTCTTGGTGAAGTTTGGAAAATATTACATACATAAAACTCTAGTAAGTTTCAAAGGCAACTACAATTTGCTTTGACCAATTTCCTAAAACTTATTTCCTCATGCAAAACTCCCTTTCTTTCCTGCTGCAAGAGATGGTACAAAACTCTCTAATACAGCTAGACATGCACCTCTACTCTCAAATGTGTGTACAATGTAAACAATCAGACCAAATGATAAGAGCATATAACTTATTCATCACTGCCCAGGCATGGCAATGACACAGAATTCCCAAAAGTTATTTCAGCCTTAGAACACATTTTATTTTTCTAAATGACTAAAAAAAAAAAAAAAATGAGATCCTAGACTAATCCCTTTGATAAAAATATGATAATCTCCTAGGTGAATCTGAAATTCTTTTTTATGAAGGAATGATATCAGCTAATACCATTAAGTTCAACAGAAGTCTATCCTTTGCATGAAACAATCTTAAGTAACAACTTCAAGAATAAAATTTTAAACTTTTAAATGATTCCTGGCTTATACTATACAGGTGTTAGAAGAATCTATAATTTGTACATGTTCAATATCATGGTAAAAAAAAAATCCTGGAAACAGTATGTAATTATGTGTCAATTCCAGATGCCCAAAGAAAATTAAAATTCAAAACACAGCACACATCACAGCATTATCCAAAGTTTAAGTTATTTAGGGTATTACATTGATTTCTAAGTTAAATTCTCCAAAACCCTTGTCTTTAAGATAATAACTTTATTTCACATTTATTATAGCTATGTCTTCATTATAATTGGCCTTTTATTAATAACAACACAATGTTGTGGCGTCTTGATTTATTTTTTCCCTTGATTTTATGTGTGCTAATATTTTGTGCATGTGCATTTTCTACCAAACTGCAACAGGCAAGCTTTGGTTCAATTTCTTTGTCCTACACAAAGGAAGATTTTGAGTGCAGAATCTTAGTCACTAGGTCCTGGGTTGCCATTTTATTTTCCTCTCCTTGGGTGGATTTATTGGAAGGAAATGGGTAAAGGGGAGGGGATAAAGGGAAGAGATGAGAGAGGGACAAAGGGAAGAGTTCTCAGCTATGTTGAATCTTGATTCACGACTTTGCCTCCATTCATGGTTGGTGTTCCAGAACTTTTCCTCGAACGCCCTTGTTTTTCTCCAATTTCATGTAGCGATGGCTCTCTGTACATACACACTGAAAAGCAAAATTACATCAATTACTTATTACAATAGTAGACATCAATTTGGATTCCATAAACATCTCAAATTTAATTTCACAATATTCTTCACTCTCACCACGAGCTCTTCTCTCCTGTGTAAAAACTAGTTTTAACTGGAAAACATATTTAGTGGATATAAATGACCCTCTACTAGTTTTATCGGTCATAACCTTTTAAGTCTTCTTGAACTGTGGACATAGAGTGGTTTCTGCTCTCTTACAGATAAGGCTTGAGTCTTACCTGTCTGCTAACCTATATAACAGGATTTTCATCTAGCGTTAGAGGAGACATTGCGAGCATAACATTTAAAGGATAGAAATAGATATTTTCTTAGTCCTTAGTCTGCAATCTAGTTTGCACAGGAAAAAAAATCCTTATATACATGCTCCTAATCTTTACCTTACTACAAGAAATATGACATTGTTATATCAAATTGAAATATTTTGCACCAATTTTCAGGGCACCCTACATAAGAGGTGATAATAGGAGGGAAGGCAGAGAAATAAATCAACAATGCCATTTTCCCAATTGCTTCAAGTTTGAATATGCAACTGTGAAATTTTAGTTCACATCTACATAAGACAGTTTCTCTCTCATCTATTGTTTTGTCTGGCTCCAAAGGTTAGTCATCTGTGAATTATCATGGCTGTTGCTAGATTATTGCATAAAAAGAATATTTTTTTTTTCAATGCATAAGAATTCAGTTCTTATTCTTGTAAGATAGGATCTATCAGCATAAGGAATACATTAAAACATTCATTATATTGTTGTGAAATAGACATATGTGACTATATACAAGCACATGAAGTATTTCATTCAAATATCGGGAATTATTTTTATCCTTGATTTAGGAACAAAGAGTTAAGTCCCTCCATCCATTAAACCATTGCTGCAATGCTTTGGTAATCTGAATATTATTACCAATCAAATAGCTTCCTCCCTTGGGTTTTGCCATGATGCAGGAGAGCTGAGCATGGTTATGACTGACTGGATGTCATGCAGTGATTAAGGGCACAAATTTGAAAGGGAAACAAAAATAATATAAAAACAAGGAGGGGGACGAAACATAAGAGACTCTTAAATATGGAGAACAAACAAAGGGTTACTGGAGGGGTTGTGGGAGGGGGGATGGGCTAAACAGGTAAGGGGCATCAAGGAATCTACCCCTGAAATCATTGTTGCACTATATGCTAACTAACTTGGATGTAAATTAAAAAAATAAAATTAAATAAAATTAAAAAAAAAAAAGAGAAGGACTCCAATTTAGGCGGCCACAACTGGTCCATGTCCCTACTCAGTCACTTGCCAGCTCTGTTAACTTGGACACATTTTCATCAATGAAAAACTGAATTTTTATGAGGATTAAATGTCGGGAATATAGGAAGTGTCCAAAGATGTTTAAGAGAATGAAGGAGCTGATCTCTTCATGAAAATATTGAATAACAGATTTCAGAGAACACAGTGATAATTTTTTTTTTTTTTGGCTAAAGGTATTCTAAATTCAAAACTAGATTAAGAGAGTTAAGACGTAAGAAATGGCCTCATTACACTAGTTCAGTGAAGAGGAGACAGGTTTTTTTTGCAACATCTCAGTGGTAGAGCTCCTTAAACAATAACGTGCTTTTGAAACATTCAAGGATATTGTTAAAATGGAGATTTTGATACACGTTTTTGTGGACTTGAGATTCTACATAGTTAATGTTATTTTGAAAGCAAGAGAGCACAACAGGGAGGGCAGAGAGAACTCAGTATCCCAGAAGAGCCCAATTTGGCATGGACTCATGCTTAAGCATAAACCGAGAACCATGAGATATGACCCGAGCCGTAACCAAGAGTCAGACGCTTAACTGACTGAGCCACCCAGGTGCCCCTCTACATTTTTAATAAGCTCCCAGATGATGCTGATCTTGGCAAACTGAACCTCACTTCAGGTAGTACAAAAGGGATATATAAACTATTTTTGCTAAATATATCATGCAAATCATTACCTATATATATATTTTTTACATACATATTTTAAATGAGATTTTTAAAGTATTTCAATTATTGTACTAAATGGCTTCTCCAAAATCCCAAAAGACCTCTGGCTTATGTAGCAAAGTTGCACAGAGTAAATGAATTCAGAAATAATTCTGTAATTTTCAGATGATGCCATTAGACAATTTAAGTTTCTACTTTCTTTTCCAAAAGACAGAAGATCCATGTGGAAGATCCTATTGAAATCTTGTAATTCCTCAAGTCTAATGTCTCTTACCTATATTTCTGTTACAGAGAAAGTGTTAAAATCTCCAAAATTAAAGCATACATTTATATATGCAAATATAGATATTTGCACAGGGAAGTAAGTGCACAGGGAACTCAGAAGTAATGAAGTGATTCCATCAGAAAGCTATTCATATGATGCCATAAACACAGCTTTTCCTACTTTGCCAGTGAGTCAACTATAAAAACCAATACATCCCCAGGACTGACTACAAGCTGCTAAATCAGAGTCTCAAAGAATGACAAAAATTATCTTTTAAAAAATATACATAATCAATATATTTTGACCTGCAAATTTCTTTTTTATTTATTTCTTTGAAATTTTTTTAATGTTTTATTTTTGAGAGAGAGAGAGAGAGACAGAGTGTGAGAGGGGGAGGGGTAGAGAAAGAGGGAGACACAGAATCTGAAGCAGTCTCCAGGCTCTGAGCTGTCAGCACAGCCAGACACGGGGCTCAAACCCACAAACTGTGAGATCATGACCTGAGCCCAAGTCGGACGCTTAACCAACTGAGCCGCCCAGGCGTCTCTGACCTGCAAATTTCTTAAACTCCCAACTTAAAGGTACATGAAGGATGTTACTTCTGATTTAAAAAAGAATACATTTTTAAAAATAATTTTATAGCTAAGTTTCTTATTTTACTACTTAGTTTTTAGTTTGCTTATGTTCTTATGTTCTAGATTCTTCCCAGGGCATTTGTTTTCACTTTTTATCTTTTCTTTTGCTTTTTCTTTTGCTTTTTTTTCTTTTTCTTTTCTTTTTTTGCTATTTCTCACTAATACATAAAATACTTCAGTTATGACAATGTGAAATGTTGCCATTACAGTTACCACTGTAGACAACTTTCCCAATAACTAAACCCTGCTGGCCATCCTGGTATCAAGTCCTTAAAGAGGTTTTTTAAAATTGGCATCTGAAAATTTTCAGTGTTTCAAAAAGAACAAAACTCATTAGTACCATAGCAGAGCATGTAAGTTGCTCTTCTTCCAGGCCTACTCACTAACTTTCCAGTATTTTCATTAAATGGAAAAATAAAATTCTGGGTTTTGAAAAAAACTAGTCCATATATCTTAGTTGGAAAATTAAGAGTAAATAGTGGGTTTCTCAGTTTGCTGAAAATCCCCCTTCAATTAGTCAAATAAATATTTGAATTTCTGTATTTCTGTTTAAAGAAAGAATTGTTTCTTTAAAGAAAACAAACTTGAGTCAATCAAGGAATTACAAGCGAGTATAAACAAAGAGAGCAAAAACTTTGTCAAACAAGATTAGTTTCTTGGGCTTTCATTTTCATTATTATTGATAGACTCTGGGATGTCTGTAATACTGTCTAACTCAAGAAGCTGACAAATCAAGGGGTACAAATCTCAATCAAATTTTGAATGAAAATGTAGTTAAAAGAACACGATCCAATTAGAAAGCAAAGAAAGGACAAAACATTTCTCCCCAGTAATATAGCTCCCTTGGGTAGTTGTATCAACACTCCACAATTGTACTATTCTAAATGGCACACAATTAAAAGATGACACAGAGTACAAGAAGAGAACAGAAGGTATAACTGTTCTATAAAGTGCATTAGATGTGCAAAATGTAAAACCCATCACATTGATGTACAACGTAACCACAATGGTAATCTCGTAAATAAACTTTTAATCCCTTAAATGAATCTATTATTCAAGATTTTTCAAAGCCATTTTAAATTGACTAACTCATTTGATAATCATATTAACCTTATGAATAAAGTGAGAAATTCTTATCCACATTTTTAAATATAAAGGAAACTAAGCAACTTTCCTAAAGTCAGATGGTGAGTAGCAGCAAAGCCAGGATGAGAATGTAAGGCTTCAAAGTCCTAATCAAGAGTTCTTAACAAAAGCAGAAGAGCAATTCATCAAAAAATGCAACAAAAGATTATCTTATATCAGACAACGTTTAAATTATATCCATATATTAATTGAGATCCAAGTTGGCCTTACCTCTACTAAATATTCTTAATGTCATCCAAAAAAGGTTAATGAAAACAAATGCCACTATAGGATGAATCCTATGTAATAGGATGGCTATTATCAAAAATGAAGACAAAAACAAAATAACCAGTGTTGGTGAGTATGTGAAGAAACTGAAAACACTACATTTCTGGTAGAGATGTAAAATGTAAAGCCACTATGGAAAATGATATGATGATTCCTCAAAAAATTAAACATAGAGTTATCATATGATCCAGAAATTCCACCTCTCAATATACCCAAAATAAATGAAAACAGGGATGTGAACAGGTATTTGCACACTGAGTTCAGAGTAGTATTATTTACAATAGTCAAAAGGCAAGAGTAACCAAAATATCTATCAATGGATGAATGATAAACAAAATGTAGTACATACATACCATACAATATTGTTTAACCTTAAAAAGGAAGGAAATTTGACACAAGAATGGATGAATCTTGAGGACATTATGCTAAGTGAAGTAAACTAGACACAAAAGGACAAATATTTTATGATTCCATTAACATAGGATATCTAAAGTAGTCATAGAGACAGGAAGGAGAATAGTGGTTTCCTGGAGCTGGGGGAAGGGAGAATGGTAACGGGTACAAGTACAATGTGAATTACTTAATGGCTCTGAAATGTACACTTACTTTGGCTAAAATGGTAAATTTTATGTTGTGTCTATTTAACACAATTAATAATTACACATACTTAAAAAGATCACAC